CACACATGGCAAGCCAACGGCAGCGAACCCCCCAGGACAAGAAGGGAGCAGACCGGGAAGATGGCGCCAACACACGGCCGAGGCCACACAGCAAGACAAGCCACACCACGAACCGGCCCACGAAGAAGCCGCCACCGCAGACCAGCAGCCACCACTGCAACAAGCATCAGCGGGGGGGCAGGAAGCAGCACACTCGGCAAACACCGACGCAGCTGCAGCAGCAGACCCCACAGAGGGGGGAGGGGGCGAGGTGCCGCCACTTGAGGAGGAAAGCTGCCCGGCAGATGACAAATGCGGGCGAGCAGACAGGCCCTATCACGAGGGGCAAGGCGACCAGCGCAGAGGGAATAAGCACACTAAGTCGGAAATCAGAGCAGAATTCCGCAGACAGGGGGTTGACAAACCCCCTCACCTCACATGGAACCAAGCAGCACACATGGTGGGGATGACCCCCTTTGCCGAAGACCAACCGCGGGAAGGGGGGACACCCCCACAGCCAGCAAGCAGCAGCGGGGAGCCGCCCCCAGACAGCAAAGCGGCAGCAGAAGCGAAAGCCAGGCACGAGAGGGACAAAGCCAAGTTCGCGACACTGCTCAACCTCCACCACCTTCCCAGAGACCCACCAACAGCCACACTGCACCAAGGAGCAAGCAGCAGCGGGGAGCCAGCACCAGGCAGCAAGGAGAGCTCCGACGCAGAGCGGCGGCACGAAGCTAGAATGGAGGCGCTGCGAACGCAGACAGGACAAACACCGGCAGCAGCAAGCCACAGCCAACCCACACAGCCACAAGCAGACGCCAGAACCGACGAAGCCACGTCACAGCAGCACCCCACGGCGATCCACATTCCAACGGGGGGACCAGTACCAGTGCCTTTCCCCCTTGACTCGCCGGTTACTTGGAGCACGCCAGCCAACTACTACTTGGCTTCCATGGGGGGGTATCTCCCCCCCAACCCAATGCCGCCGCCGCTCCCCATTTCCCAACACTCCTACGCGCACTTCAGGTATATTGCGCATGGGGGATGGGCCTTTTGTGTGCTCTCCAGAACCTCGCCCGCCACCCCAAGCTACCAGCGAGTCAAGCGCAGAGGCTTCGCGAGAGTCAGGCAGCAGGGAAGGCACATTGGGGGGGGACCGCTGCTCTCCATGGGAGCTCAAGGCGAGGTACATCCTCTCCGCGTGGCAACGGCGGGGGGATCCGTGTGGCACTTGTTCCTGCGGGCNNCCAAGCCTCACCTGGCTAGACCCAGAGGACGGGGAGTTGATACACCGAACCCGTCGCCAAGCTCAAGGCAACTTGCCGAACATGTCGGCACACCTACAAGAGCACGAGCTGCAGCAGATGGTCATCGATGAAGTGGAGGCGGGGGCCATCTACGTGCTGAGGGGGAGAACACAGTTCCCCGTCGAAGATCCCTTCGCACCGAGGGGACACAGAGCAGCGGCACTGCGAGCCAGCCTAGAACCAGGGGGGACCCCCCTCACCATCCCAGTGGACGAAGCGGATGGGGAGCAAGCACTCCACCCCTGGGCATGGGCAGCACGACACACGAGGGGTCAGCAAGCACCCCAGGGGACAAGACAGGACCCAACACCGACAGCAGAAGCCGCGCAGCCACACCACCAAGCCACAGCCCAAGCAGCGGCGCCCACAGACGGGCCACCGACCCAGCAACAACAACCACAACGAGCCAGCCAAGAAGCAGCCACCGCAGAGCAAGCAGGGCCCGCCAGCAGACCAGGGGGGCAGACCAGCAATGACGGACGCGGCAGCGGGGGGACACAGCCGGGCCCCCAGAGAGCCAAGCCCAAAGCACCACCCGGCAGAGCCCAACCCAAGGCGCCACCACAGCAGTTCCAGCAAGCACCGCCGACACACCAGCAGCAGCCAATGGGAGGCACGACCGCAGAGGCAGAGAGACAGGGAGCCGCGACGGCTGACGCCTCGCAGACAGCCAGCCAGCCGCAGCACACCGACCACGGAAGAACCACACCTACACAACACGTGGGGGGATACTCCTTCTACTCAGCGGCAGCCCGAGCAGCATTCCAACACAAGCAGGGGGACACGCCGAGGCCGCAACCAGCCGCCCCCAAAAGACCCCCACCACAACCACCGAGTGACTCAGAGAGCAGCTGGCCCAGCGAGGATCCACCACCAGACCACCAAAGCCTAGTGCAAACCACCCCCGCCAGAGGAAGCAGCAGCAGCCCAAGCCACAGAGCAACAGCAGCAGCCGGAGAAGGGGACACACAGGACCAAGCCGAAGCAGCAACGGTGCCGTGGACACCACCACCATGCCAACCGGCAGCCACACAACACCAGCCAGAGAGCCCTGGATCCATAGAAAACCACCCCGAGGACATGCCGGGGACCACCACGGAGGAGGAGATGTGGGGACCAGAGGCAAGACCCGAGCCACGGGGCCAGGAGGAGCGAGAGGGGGGGGAGAGCAGCCAGGCAAGCCATATCCACAGCGACCAGGGCACGCCGAGCCCACTCAAGAAAGCTCGCAGACAAGCCCAGCAACAACTGCAGCGTGAGGAAGCCGAGACCGCAGCAGCCAGTGAGCAAGCAGGGGGCCACAGCGAACAAGCTGAAGCAGGGGGGCCCACCGACAACACAACAGCCACCAGTGCAGCACACCACCTCGCGGAAGCAGCCAACCTAGCATGCCAATTACAGCTGCCCGACGTGGAGAGAATGCTGAGGGAAGCGAGAGACATGTTGCCGGGGGGACGGGCAACGCCGCAGCCTCCCCCACCAAGCCCGAACGCCTTCCAGGTCGCAGCCTTAGTGGTAGGCCTCATGGCAGACCGCACAACGCTGGGTGGCAGCCCTCCTGACCGGGGAGAACTGCTGGAAGTACAAGACCTGGTGCGAGCCGGGGGACGCCTGCTCCTGGGGGGACGACGCTCGAGAGACTGGACGAGGACACACCACGCCACTGATGCAGCAGAGGCGGCAGCTGAGATGATGGAGGAAATCCTGCGCCACGGGGGACTGGGGAAGTACCCGGACGACCAGCTCGCGACCCTGCAGAACCTCCTCGCAGCAGCGGCAGATGGGGTCCACGTGCTGGTCGGCACCTACCCGCACGCAGGCGAGGCAGAGGGGGTAAGTGCCACTGCGACGCACCCCGCGGACGTCATTGCGCTGGCGACAGGGGGACGAGAGACAACGACCAGACAACATGCAGCGGGGAGACCGCAGGCCATCCATGTCTACAGGGCCAAGCGGAAACTGCGACAGCTGCAGCCCTTCCTGACGGGGGAGATGCAGGCGATGGTGAACATCGCCGTCATGCACCTGCACCAGTGGACCACAGAGCACTGGGGGGACGATGTCGAGCTAGTGGAAGACTCGGCACCAGAGCAGCCAGAACCACAAGAGGGGGCGGCCAGACCGTCGACGTCTACTACCACCGCTGACGGGGGGCAAAAAGAGGCGGCCAGTACCGAGAGACCTACTACCACCGCTGCCGCAGCCGAAGTGAACGCAGTGAGCGGGGGACGCAGACGTGAACCTAGGCGTAGATTCACCACCCCCAGCTCCCTTGACAATGATGACTGAGGGGCTTGCGGTTTGGCTGTTGGGGGCTCTACGTTTCCAGTTTATTTGTTTTCTCTTCCTTCCGCATGTCAGGGCAGCTGGGGGGCCGAGCCAGGCACATGAGGGTCGGTAGGTGGGGGTCGTTGAGCCTTGGGACCCGTAACTGCAGCTAGGGGTAGTCTTGTTGAGATCGTCGTGTGGTTGAGACCCGGTGTGCAGGCCTTCGTTTCACGTAGCAGGGAACGCTTTGGGGGACGACGTTGGGGGCTTAGCCGAAGACAGCGCGGGGTTGCTTGTGTACATGTCTTGAAGCGCTCCCATGTTCCGTAAGAGAGTACCTAGCCACAGCAGAGGGGACGAGCTGAACCGTAAGACACTAATTGTGCTGTACGTGTTGTTTGTGTTGGTGCCCCTCTGCATGGGGGCTATACAGACTGACTTCAGCCTAGCCCAGTGATGCCCATAGGGGGCACGGTGATGAGGCCGGGACGCGGGTTGGGGTTGGTTAGTGTTCGGGGTCGGGGGCTTACTGCTGGAAGTCTGTCACACACTTGGTACTCTTGTGCAGCAGTCATTATGACCCCAATGCCTCCCACTCAATAAAACAAGGTGTGGGGGGGCGGGCCGAAGGCCTGAGGGTCGCAAACATGCGACCCCTATGCCCTGCAGAAAGAAAGAAAGAAAGAGAGATAAAAGTTTGTATTGTATAAGCCTTCCACATGAACAGAAGACAACTAAGCAAACATGAAGCGGCCTTAAACAACATACTTGCATACACACGCAGAAGCAAGCAAATACGTATCTGTGTGCAAACGCACATGTTTGTGGCATTGCATGGTTGCCTTCCATGGCATCTGATTGGGCTGCATTACGCACATAGCAAGACATTGTGTACGGATAATGACAGCCGACAGCAGCATAAACAGTCAGCAGCTAGATAGACAAATTTGTGTGGCCAACTTCCTTGGGCTTTTCGCTCCCTGGCTCTCTCGGAAACCTTAGTGGGGAACCAGCGATGGAGGAAGAGATTGCTATATCCACGGCGACGCATTTTTTGAGGGAAGCACAGACGAGTTCACACAGCGTCAACAGGCTGCACATTCGGGGAGAGCAGCATGGCGTCCCAGAATGGCCTTTAAACTTCCTACCATTTGGAAGCTTATGTCAACACGGCCCGGCAGAATCCGCCAGAAACTTGCGAGCAATTGCAGAAGGACCATCAAGCAATTAGATGCATTGCGACTCTGGAGTCGCACATTCAAAAGGCGATCGCGCACGCACCGAGTGACACGCATGTGCAGACTCTTGCAGGTTCGGGATGGATCTCGAAGCACGTGAGCAAGAGGCGCAGCCGCTCCTTGGTAGAGCCTCGGATGCACGGGTGAAGGCTGCATGTTTCAAAGCAAATGGGAACAAATGTGGAAGCTCGTTTCTTGCAAGCCCGAGAACTGGGACGCAGCAAATTCGTCTCGGTTTCGTCCAAGCAGCAGGCGCGCATGCAGCCCCGTACAGAATATTCAGCAAGGCCAGTTGTGAGACAAATCACGAAGGCGTTCCAGGCTTCGATTTCACCCAAGACATTCACCTGGAGATTGTTCCCGAGCTGCAGAGATCTACAAATCTGAGTATTGTCGTCATGACGCTGCAGTGCCTGCTGGTTTTAGTGCAGTAGAGCTCCTGTGCTACTGGTAGCTGTGATTGTCTGATCACTGCATGGCCTACTTGTTGAGACTCAGCGAGGCTTGTTCTGGTCTCTGGCCCCTTGCTGGCTTTCGTGGCGCGGTGCTCACAAGAACCTCACCAGAGCCTCAGGGACGAGGGTGTGATTTTGTGCGTCAAGTGTAGACAAGGCCATGCTCTTCCTGGTGAACAAATTTCTGTACTGGCATCCGATTCTCGTCTATTCCTTTGCTGGTCTGACCCTCGCGTTGAGTATGTGGGCTCGAAGCTGAGAAGGCGAAGTGCTGCAGGGCAAAGTCCGAGCCTCCTAGCTGCGCCTGCCGCCAGAGCTAAGGTCTTGAAAATCTACCGCAAGGAGCCGTGGCAGCTGTGGCTGGGCCGCTTCATGCTGGCCTCTACTGTCTTGGGTCTCGTCTCAGGCGCAAGCTGTGCTTTCCTGCGAAGTTGGCTCGCACCCGCTGTTGCTAGATGTTGACGGGGCGTTTTGCCATTGGCAGGTTGCCTGATCTATTTTACGAGCTCCGTCTACTACTACCACTACACGGGTGCTGCAACGTATACGAGCGTTGTTCCTTCGCAACCGGCCGAAAGCATTCTTGACGCTTGAACACCCACTGAGAAGGTGTTTTACATTTCTTTTCGGTTTCCATGTTCTGCATTCGGCAATTTTTGCAAGGATGCCGGCATTGTCAACTTTGCCGTGGGAAGCGGTGTTGATGCCTCCAGATCCATTGGATTCCAATCTGCAGCTGACGGCGCAGTCATCTGCTTAGCACCAATTGTCGATGCATCAATGAAACCGCAGACACCGGTGAACGTGTTCGCATATGGCATCAATTGCTGTGGCTGGCGCGGCAACTTCCACTGCGATGATGCGCTGAAGCCATCCGCACGGTATGGTCTGGTCCGACCTGATCCGGCAGCCATCCTGCCCCCGTTACTGGGGGATCTGGTCTCGGGTCCCAGCGAGGAGACCCTTGCAGCTGCCGTTCGTCTACAGCAGGCGTCCTTCGGTGGATCATCAAAAGCGGTGAGGAACATCTTCGTGCGTTATGTCAACGACCCGCTTCTTGCCAAAATGAGCTTTGTTGACACGGCCGTTCTGGCAGCCCTGTCCTGCTCCAGCCTATGCTTGGTGGGCCTCATCGCCTGTGCTTCGCTTGCGGTTCTTGGAGCCGGCAAGGTTCGACTGATCCTGCAGAGACTTGTTGCGTGACATTGCGTGACCCCGTGGTGCATCCGGCCCCTGCTGATTAGCAAAAAGGACACAGATGCCAGACTAGTCGCCTTCGTGCCTCGTGATACTGCCTTTGAGCTCTTCTGATGCACAGGAGCGGGGCCTTCAAGCCGGAGCAGTTGCGCTCATGGCCAGACCCTCTTGGAGGGCAGCAGCATTGCCACATGTCGCTGCTACTTTTTGTTGCTGGCTCCTCCTTGGGCCTAGTACATCCTAGTACCAGGTCTCAGAGCTTCTGCAGGCTTCGAGTTCAGCCTGCGAGGTCTGCTAGGTACCCTATTGCACGCTGGCGGGCTCAAATGTGGATCCAGGGTAGAGTCGAGCAGAAAGGGCTCACGCAATGAAGTGCAGTGCCCAGCTGAGTTGGGCACTGCTCCTGGGCTGCTGGCTCCAGGTGCATTCTTTCAGTCACCATGCGGCGGATGCTGGAAAGCTGCGTGGAAGCTTGCTGAGCCTTACTCAGGCCTCCCGCGGATTCTTTTAGAAAAATTGTTTGCTTTGCATTTTTGTTTTTCATTGTTCCCTAGCTCGAGGCACCAGCTCCGGCTCCTGCAGTGGTCTTTGCATCCTCGCCCCTGGGGGCCTCCTTCCCCGGTCCACGGGGAGACCCAGGGGACGTTGGGCCTGTGGGAGATGCAGGGCCCGATGGTCCAGACGGCCCTCCAGGGCCGCCGGGTCCGCCAGGTCCGACCGTCATGGTTTCATTGCCTATGGGAGCTGCAAACCCTTGGATGCCAATGTATCCCATGCAGATGCCTATGATTCCCCTTGCCATTATCCCGACACCAACACAGTCCCCGCCTCAGCAGCCGCTAGCGGCGGCTGTGGCACCAGCTCCGGCACCGGTACTGGCGGCTGCTCCCATGGGTGCAAACCAAGCACGTGCAGAGGAGATCTGCAGCAAAATGCTTGAAGACGTAGATGCAGACCATAAGCAGCACTGCGTCAAGACGGTGTTGAAATCAATGGAGCAAGGGCACTCGGAGGAGCAGTCCATGTTCATGGCCAATGCGACGATGCAGCTCCTTCAGCTTGGCCTTCCAGCAGCCGCTGCCGATGCCGGAGCTCTGGAAGCTCTGCGTGGCTTCACGGACGGGATGCCGTTTCACAAGGCGCTGAACCACGGCCAAGCTGCGGCAATTTACGAGAATGCATTGCTGAGCGGTTACACGCCAGCAGCGGCCAAGATCGCCCGAATGAATGCCCTCCGAACGTTGGAGGCTGGATACTCCAGAAAGGCATCTCTGGTAGCCAGTGAATCAGCTGCAAAAGCCATCGAAGCGGGCTTGACCCCGGCAGCTGCAGAGGCAGCCGCAACGGCCTCTGCCAATGCAATCAGAGATGGAAAGTCTGTTGAGGAGGCTGCTGCAGCTGGTGCTGCCGTCGCACAGGTGACAAAGGATGGCTCTCACATCGTTATCCACATTCACGATCACGATGCAGACGGCCAGGCCAGGTAAAGGGATGGGCTACTTGTAGAAGAGGGTCTCTTTCCGAACCGACTATGAATTATCACGAGAACGACACGTACATTAGTTGCATGCCAGCCAGGTCACGAAGTACCGGTATCAGCCAGGTTCGACGGACACTGCAGCACCTGTCTCAACAGGTCTAGACACACCTGCTCTAGACGCTGTACCGCCTGCTCATACAGCGGAAGCACCGCCAGCCACAGAGCTCAGGCCTGTTTCAAAACCATCAGTTGTGGCGCCAGCGCCTGCGGCAGCTCAACCATTTCACACCGGTAAAGTCACGGCACCAGTGCCCCCGCCAGTGAAGTCTCCACCACCAGTACCGGTACCAGTGCCACCCGCAGCAGGACTGCAGTAGTGCATGTGATGATCAAGGTGAGCCTGTAAGCCTGTAAGGCTTCTCATGATTTTCCCACGCTGGCTGCTAGCTCAGGTCGCAGTACCTCTTCCTGTACGTGTGTCAAAGCCGGCAGTTGCTCCAAGCCCAGAAGCTGGAGGCGGAATGGATGCGCTTCTGCCCCGCGAGTTGCCCGCGGAATCGGCAGCCGTGCCAGCGCCAGCGGTTCCAGCACCGCCAAAGTTTGCATCCGTGCCGGTCGCTTCGGCGCCGGTGCCCTCCACTCCCATGGCTGCAGCACCGGCACCGGCAACGCTGGCATCGGGCACAGGAACCTTTGGCACCGAAAGCCGCTCTCAGGGTCCTGAAGCCAGCATTGGGCAGACGGGAACAAGTGCAGAAGTGGCAGAAGTGCGTGGCGATGCGAGTCCGAGCACAGCTCCGACCGCGAAGTCTCTGGCAAAGAACCGTGAAAGCTCCTCTTCCACAGAAGGAAGCAAGAAAGCAAGTTCAGAAGCTTCAGAGAAGTCCGTGCCATCGCCAGAAGCAGAACCTGGAGCAGCAGGCGCCGAGGCTGTGACGGGTCAAGCCACGCATGCTACGCCGGAGACAAAGGCAGCCAAGGATTCCGGGGAAACTGCGGGGGTCCCTGAGGTCACGCAGGGCTCTGAAGCAACCCCGGCCTCTTCCAAGGCTCCAACCTCCTCAGCTGGATCGCAGGATGAGAGCTTTTTCGATACCGTTGTGGACACGGTGAAAGAAGCTGCCACTTACGTGCCCTTCGTGCCCTGGTCCTTGCAGGAGGAGACCAACGAGACGAATAGCACTGATGCCCGCTGAGAGGCAACCATATCATGGAGACCGCACGTGCCGTGCACAAATCCGATGCAAAAGCACCGTGGGATCTGGAGCGAAGTAGCCTCAATGAGCTTGGTAAGCGTTGCTGACGTTGACTCAAAGCAAGTGCCGTGCCTCTTCGAGGTTTGACCAGCTGCTGAACGGCTTGAATTGGGAGCGACCAGAGGCAGAGTGTTTCCATGAGTTTCCTGGTCATCGGGCGGTTTCCATTCTAGCCATTCTCGATGCTGTCTTCACAGGTGCACGGAAAGCCACTGCCTCGCAGTGCTTGCTGGCTAACGGCCACAAGCTCAGTCTGGTTCCAGCCGGCAGCCTTGAGTTGAAGAGTAGCTGCACTGCATGCGGTGCTTGCATAATGTGCTTGCTGAGACCGCCGGCTGCTCTTGCACGTTCTTGACTCAGCTCCTAATGTGCTTTTTTGCTGAGCATGCCCGAAAGTGAAGCAGTTGTAGTTGTGAGTCTGCAGGTACCGGTACAGTGGCACGTCATGGCCAAACATGGTAATGCCTCAGTGGTTCATTGATCTGACAGACGAGGTGCGCAACCAACACCTCACATATAAGGTACTCACCCTTGCGAGCATCCGTCAGGTATGCCGCGCTTGTGAAGTGCCAGAACGCCCAAACTCGTGCAACGCCAACCTGTATGAGGTGTGCCGCATGATGCTGCAGCGCCACATGTCTTTCAGAGTGCACACGTCTTTAGTTCCTGAGGACGGCGGTGACTCTGTTGGCTGGCACGCAGATGATGAGCAGCTTGGTGTAGTGGCTTGAACAAGAAAGCAGACTCAAATGCCTTGTGTGTCGAGGCCATACTTCGATGCAAAGCATACGGATGCACTCATCATCTCCTTGTCTCTGGGTGCGGCCTGCTACCCAAGAACCACCTGGTGGCCAGCTTTGCAACAGCGAGGGCATCAGAGAATATCTTATGGCCGCTGCTAAGACCCGCACGTTTTTGCTCCGTCCCAATGATGCCCCGACGCAGAAGACAAAGCAGCTGCCTCAAGCATGCCATGGATGATAGCAACATGTAAGACTTCAACGTTTGCGTCCGCACGTGTGCGGATTGCCAGATGCTGCCAGGTTATCTCTGGAAAATGGGGACTTGGCCACAATGGAAGGCCAGTGGGCGAAGTGTCCCTGCCAGAGCATGGTTTTAGTTTTTGTTGGCATGTTCTGTGATTCGGGGACCTCCTGCAACCTGATGTGGAGTTACTAGTATAGCGATTAGGTGAGATTCAGGTGTGGGATGTCGCCAGCCGTAGCCTTGAGAGTTTTTTTGTCCGTGCTGGTTCCGGGCTCCTAGCAGCTCTTGGCTTGGGCCCTCAGAGCAGATCGCAGCCCCATGGGCGCCCTTGGGAGCTGCCTGGCAGATGCATCTCAGCACTGCTGCATATGTGCATCTGGGACATAAGAGATTGAGCTGCATCGCTGTCGACAGTCAAAGCTCCCGGCAAGAGCATCAGCTTGAGCCGATGGATGGCCTTGAGGTATTCGAATCCAACTAGCTATGGCGGTTTCTGGGAGACTGCACTGCACGATTTTGTGGTAGTCATCCTGTGCGATGTTTTTCCGTTCCTTCGTACCTGTTCAAGGAGAGAGATGCGTTCTTGGATGCCGCGCTACCGGTTGAGGAGTGCGACTGCCAGGCGAACGCACCTGTCGTGTGCACCGCTTGCATACTGCATACACTATCCAAAGAGGTGAGAAATCGATCTACGCAATAGTCCTTTCGCTTAAAAGGTGTTCGCTTGTGGTCGTGGTTCTCTTCTTCCGTCGGGGACAGATGGAGTTTAATATAGAAGTTCCATGGATACTCGAGGATTCGGGGAAGTCACCCGCCTGATGGAAGCCCGGACGCACCGCTGCTTCTTTGGTTGGATTTGGCAAGACTGGGCTATGGACGTCGGAGGGGTGGCCGTGTGGTTGGACCGTGGCGCGTGCACGACGCTCTAAATAATACAAGCGCGCAGAGACAGGTGCAGTAAACAGCATGGCGTTAGTGCGTTTCACTGTCGTTGCATGCCACGATCAGAACTGAAAGTTCTCGGAGGGAGCGGCACCCAGCGGCCTGAAGTGGCGCAGCTTCCTAGCAGAGTTGCGCCGTCGCCTCAGGGCCGAACGTAAGCGAAGCCGGATCCCAGCACAGACGAGGTCAGAACCTCTGGGATGATGCAAGCTTCTCGAGGCACTGCCCTCAGACCATGCCCACTCCTGCGGCAAAAGGGTCGGACGGCATGGTCTGTTTGTCGGAATCTAGTCGGCAGTTCAGGCCGTGGGTCCACGAGCTGTGCGGCGAAGCTTATCCGGCCTTCTTCGGCGCTGTGCGCATCGACGAGGCCTGCGAGACATTCAGGAGACTGGCCCAGCCTTGCAAACAAAACATGTTTTAGGTGCAAAGGGGTACCGATCAGGCCACAGGAGAGGTCACGCAGATCACCCCGAGCACCTGCAGCGCTGGTCTGGTTGCTATGGCTGCCGTTTGCAGCCAATCTATAGCCTTGCGACATGGCTGGACCATCAAAACTAGCCATGTTCAGCTCTCTGCCATCGGCCATCGTGTCGCGCTCCTGGTCCTGCTAAGTATGCAGGCGGGCGTTGCTTTCGGTTAGCGGAGAACCGAACTAAACTCGAAAAGTCGGAAAAGTCGATTCGACTTTTTGACTTTTTGCGTTCTCTTCTGTGCTTTTCGCACTTTTCGATGTTTTTCGGGGTTTTCTACTTCGACTTTTCTCGCTTGTCTGCGCTTTTCTCGCTTGTCTGCGCTTTTCGCACTTTTCGTCACTTTGCGGGCTTTTCTGCTTTTAGAATTGCTGTGTTTTTTTTTTTTCGTTTTGGCACTTTTCAATACGTTTTCAGTATTTCTGGTTTTCTGGGCTTTTCGAACATTCTGTGCTTTTCGGCTTCGTCCATGTTTTCAGGGTTTCACAGAAAAGCTCCGCGCCAGGCTTCAGGTAGCTCCAGGGCTGGTCTCGGGGTGGGCCTAGCGAGGGTACCCTGGGTTGTTGTTCCCGCCAGAATCGGAAAAAAAATGTGAGCATGTAGGTAGGGGCAGGCCGAGGGCTAGGCCTGAGGCAGCAGTGAAAGGAGTAGCAGTCGGCAGTATAGTCGTAGTAGTACTGTCACGTCGTGGCAGTAACTTTCAGCCGAATCGGGCTTAATTGCAAACTTTGCTGAATAAAGCATTCCGGGTTCCGCCCAAGCCACCATTAAGTAGCAACAGCATGCGTATTGTTCCTAAGTTTTCGGGTTAGGCAAACTCTTCAAGTGTGCTCTTCCAGAGATTTAGGCTTTTCCAACAAGCAACAAATGAGCCAAAACAGGTGGCATTTTGGTTTGTTGTTCGGGTCTTTGGAGCCCCCCAGCTGCATGTTGTTTCATCAAGGGGTCTTCCAAGGCATCCAGAAGTAGCAGAAACATACGCAGTTTTCTGCTGCTCGGTTGTGGGATACTTCGGCCGATCTCCAACAGGCCAGGGAACCGCAGATGCGCAAATTTCAATAATTTTTGGTGTTACCGTCGACGAGCGGAGCCATTCTCATTTTCGTGTCCTTTTGAGATACCCTAAAAGCAAGTTCCAATGACTTTTGAGCATTTTGTGTGCCCGAAGCACCGCAGCCAAAAACCTTGCGCGTGCGCGCGCACGCGCGAAATTCCCATCTGGTTTTTGATCCTTTCGGGCATCCTCGGAACACCTGAAATGAACGGAACTGGTTTCAGGAACGTTTTCGATAGTTCTACCTTTCTGACTTTCGACTTGTAGCCTTCCGCTGTACTTTTTCGCGGTTTTTGATTGCGCCAGCAGCCGTTCGCAAACGCAGTTCTTGCGATTCCATGCTAGGCAGATGAGGCAGACGCGGCAGGCCGGATGGTACTGGACGGAACGTCCGGTGAAAGACGAGGGCAATGCCATCGAGGCGAGCGCGTGAGGTGAGCACTTCGTTTGAGCTGTTTGCAGCAGCGGAGGACATTCTGAAGAGAATGCCGGCGAACGAGTGCTTACAGCTTTGCGAACAGCGGTCTGACACCTGGGTTGAATTCGAGACGGGTCTTGATGGGCATCGGCAAGATGAAATAAGATGACTCTCGAGCCTGTAGAACTCGCTACGCCCCTTTTGCGAGGATTGTGCATCAGTTGCTCACGGACCTTTCGGCTGCCATCTGAAGGACAAGTGCGTTTCACCAGCGGACGAGCCTCTTGCTGACAGAGAGCGGGGTTGGCTGCGTCACGGGATGTTCATCTTTGCAGACTGAGGTTGGTCCTTCCTGGTGTGGCACAGGGCTACAGCAGCAGCCTTGGAAAGAAGCTGGGGATACTTGTGTGTCTGCATCAACGGCGGTCGTCTAGTTCAGGAACCTACTACCGCAACACTGGCCGTTGTTTGGAAGCTGGTGTCGACGAGTCCTTCAAGTCATCCGACACTGGTCGGGTCAGCGAAATCCGACTTCTGATGCTTGGATCCAGGAGCACAGCCTTTTCGATTTCACTGCCCCTTGCAGCGATTGGGGATGCTTAAATTCTCAAATAATGCGTATACGATCTCTAAGGATGGACTCGGCGACGCGCTTGCTGGCCACGGCTGTCCACTGTCTGGATGAATCAGACTGGCCTTTCTCCGTAGCGGAGGTGTTGGCGCATCTTGGCAACGACGGACCCTATAAACCCTGATGGCCTCAGTGGGCTGTGCTTATCGATGCCCCCAGGAATCGGATGAGTTTCGTGGCAGCCGCGAGCCCTGGATGCACAAGTTCGTGCCAGCTACAGTGTCTGCGAGGTTGACATCTTCTTTGTGTTAAGTCCTGTCTGTTTCCGCAAAGAACAACTCGCGCGATGCATTGCAACATATTGCAACCGAAAGCCTTGTGCCGCAAAGTCCGAGCTGGCAGCGGAGTTAGTGCGGGTGCACTCTGTCAGAACCGACGGCCGATGTCTTGAGGATAGCTAGTTTGCAGTCGAGATTATCATGCGCGGCACAACGTTGAAATTAGAGAATTCCGGGCTGCAGCAGCACTTGCTGTTAGTAGGGCTATAGGGTACCTTGAGGATTGCAACCCTTTACTGTTTTAGTAGTTCGATTCTTGTATTTCGAACTATAGTAGACAGTCGCACAGGATAGTTGTCGTTGGCACACTTCAAATCGAGGTTCTGTGGGAGGCCTCAACCGCAAATCCATGCATTCCTGCATCCCCGAGCTGGTGAATCTTTCAAGGTATCGTGTTGCCAGGTCCAGCTTCCCCCGGTGCTTCCCAACAATCGTCCTTTGGTGCTTACATTTGGTGCATTGGGATCCTTGGGGCTGCTTCCTTGGCCATGGTTCGCGGAGTCCTAGGCCATGGTCTGCTGCTCAGGTTGCATGCTCACCAGGGTGAGCACCAGTTCAACTTCGAGTGGCAGCGAGCCCTTCGATTTGACTTCCCATCCTCCTGCAGCGCGCCGGCTCGGCTGGAAGCCGGAGAGTCGGGCTCCGTGTGCCGAACCTTGGATAGGCCACGGCCTTAAGGGTCTCAGCTCAAGCCTTCGACTAGGCCCAGGCTCGTCTGAGGGGAGCGATTTATTACTGACGACTTCACTGAGGCTGCTCATAAGATGGGTCCGAGGTCGGTGCCTCAGCCCTGCTCGGCCCTTCGCAGCCTTTTTGAAGAGAGCGAACCCAGGCTTGGATTCCGAAGTCGGCTTCTGGCATGCGTTGATGGATCCGGAGACACAGAATAATCCGGATGTTGATCCCGCTGCCTGGCGAAGTGCGCGGACCTGGCTTGAAGAAGGCACGGCCGCTTTCGAGACACTTCGTGTCAGCCATTGGGCACTTGTGCAGTAGTATTGTAGTACGATTTGTTGAAGCTCAGCTCGGGTGTGATCTGGGACTTTGGCCGGAATGGTTCGGTCTTCGCAAGGTCACGTCAGCTGGCACTACGGCGACATCTGCAGCTTTGTGGAAACAGCACGGGCAGCTTCAGGCGAGCAGTTTGGCCGTCCACGTGCTGCGCCCTCAGGTGGACAGTCATGCATGCCGAAGGCTTGATTGGCGACACAAAGCTTCAGGTACTCAATGCTGGGTCGGGGCCTTTGGCTCCCAAAGATATTGCTTGTCAAGACGGCAAAGCAATCCCAGTCGTTGCAGCCGACGGCTTGGCAAGATTCTACATGCAGCTGTATGTGGCCTGTTTGCATTTACAATTGCCAGTCCCGCCCGATAGTATGCAAGGATAGACCACAACAGGAAACAGAGACGCCAATGCACTGTGACCTGCAGGACATCCTCGGGCACGAGCCTCCTGCAGTGCCGGCTCAATGTCCTACGGAGCTGTTGCACCAATGCTTCCCGCAGCATCACTTTGACGTCGTGCATGTGCGGAACCTGGTCCGCAGTGAATCATTGATTGCTAGTTTGGATTGTGGCACCAGTGGTGCAGTCGTTCTTTCGGTTGCTGTGGGCCAGCTTTGGGTTTGCTGATGAGCATCAATGATGTAAAATGGGTGTGTCGCAGGCTGCCGATGTAGAAAATATGCACCCTGAGCTTGCGACCGCTTTGTCTATGGTATACACCATACCAGCAGTCCATGACAGCAGTCAGGAACTCATTGGATCACGCCAACGACCCCCTGCTGGGCATCCGGCAGATGCTGCAAGTCGCCCGGCCCTTGCCTTGGAGTACTACTATGAAAGAGCAGTACATTTGGTAATTCCCCGTGCCCGCACTGTTCTAAGGCCAGGTGGCTGGGTGCTCCTTCGACATGCCCGGAACGAGGGTGCGCTTTGCAGTCGGTTTTCAGAGCTGTTTGTGTAGGTCAATCGTGTTTTCGTTTTTTGTGGTGTGGAGCACTGCCCTCGCATGCCTATCGCCATCTTGCTTCCCCGAATTGAGTTGGAAGACCGCGCCTACAGGGCAGAGTCTTGTCTGGACGGAAGCGGTGCACTGCGTTGAGAGCATCACTTCCGATCAGCCTCCCTGCCACACAGATAGCCATAACGCTTTTCCTCGGTCTTCGACGGCTGCTTCGAGCCGTCGTGGGCATGTGCTTTTGGATTTTGTTTTTAGTTTGCTCCTGGGAATGATAGGTCTGCTGTTTCTCGTGTATAGTTGTTTTTCTCTTGCTTCGTCCACTCATGTTGCCCGCAGTGTCCCACACTCCCAGAATCGCAAAACCTCGCAACTGAAGAGTGGAGAATAGAACAGGAGGAGGGGAGAAGCAGAGTGGTGTGGCAGTCGCATGCAGTACAGGGGGATCTGGAGTGCACGCGGTCAGGAAGACAAACAAAGGGACAAGAAGTCGAAGTGATTACCGCACTTGTTCATGCTTGCACCCAGGTGTGGCGGGACATTTCCAGCTAGGACTACACCAATGGGCGCACCGGGACGGCATGAAGACTGCATGCACATTTGGAACGACACACGATGGCATGCTTAAGCACACGTGGGCCGAAACAGCCAAAGCCGAGGTTCGATATTGAAGACTCAGCAGACGGCCCACACTTCGTGTGCCTAGGCTTGCCGGCTTTGCTCGATATGTGCCCTTGCTCGTTGTGCTTAGGATCTGGAGCCCATCTTTGCGTGCCGATGTAACGCAGTGGCTCCTCTCCTCCAACCTGTCCAGCGAAGTTCGAGCTGAGTTGCGGCCCCATCCGTCTGGCGGCCCGGAGCAGCACCTTGGACCAGATAGACATGCTTTGCTGCCGAGAGCTGTCAGAGAGGCAGCTTCTGGAACTTTTGGGAGCATAGCGCAAAGCCACGAAGGGCGGCAACAAAGGTACGTGTGGGTAGATATCCGCAAGCCATTGCACGAGCACCAGGAAGAGTGACGGCGGTCGCTACCAGTCGCGGCGGAGAGTGGAACGAAAGAGATGCACTCTGTGTTGTGATCCCTGTGTCCCATCGCTGCCGTGCGTGCAGCTGAGTCGGAGCAGAAGGGAGTGATCGCCAGGTCGGCTCCAGAAGCACTACTCACATGCAGTGCCCGCCTCGGGAGTCCCAGCCTCCGGCTCGTCTTCAGACTTCACCCTGCATCGGAGACTTTCAACTTTAGCCTCCCATCCCGAGGTATTGGCCGACGGGTCGTCGAACGGAGTGTTGACCTTGGTGGATGGTGAAGAAGAGACTCGGGTCCTCCATCGAGCCCAAGCAGATGGAACTTCTGGGCTGAGGTTCGAATCAACCTTACCTGGCGATGGGCCTTGAACTTAAGACTGAAGGAGCTGAGGGAATGGCTCAATGTCACGGAGCTCCCACCCTTAAGGTACTGGTTCACGACCGTGGCTGTCCAAAGCGTGCCGGCCTTGGTCACTGAGCCCCGAGAGTGCCAAAAAACACCAGAGATCCAAGGCGGCAATGGCCGCGCAGCCAGCGAACCGGTTCGTGTGCCGCGCAAGGCCCAAAGAATCTGAACGTGCTTCGAGTTCGGTTTCAGCATGCTTCGAAGAGGCAGCAGGAGACGAGACGAAGAAGGCCTCTTCGGACAGACCGAAGACCTGCTTGGACCAGTGGGGAAACATGGGGAAGCATGGTGAGGCTACGCAAGCGGCTGCCTTGTCAACTGCAGCGGCTTCAGACTCTTCCTTGCCCAAACCTGCCAGCCTGTTGGGAATGGAGGAATGGCTCAAGGGTCGGTGGTTTGATGGAGGCAGAAGGTAATAACCAGGTAATAGGTAACATGGAAGGAGTTTGCTGTAGCTCAAGTTGAACCGCCGTCGCAATGATAGTTGTATTGTACCGGTTTGACCTTTAGATGGAGATGTTGGCATCGCTAGGTTGTAGAACAAGCAGGATGTATCAAGACTTGCTGCAGACAGGTTGTTGTGTGCCTGCTGTCAGCCTCCTCAGGCCGCAGCTGTGCAAAGCAGAGCGATGCAGGCACCGCCACTGAGCACCGCACAGCGGCAGGGCCACCAGAACTTGTCAGAAGCAGGTGGCGGCGGCTTCTGCTGCCACTCGGAGTTGGCAGTTCACAGTAAACTTTCGAGTTGCAGAGTGTGGGGTTGGGAGCACACGTCGTGAAACTACATGGCAGCAAGGCGTCAGCGAAGCTTTCGCGGGCCTCCTCTGTCCGGACCTGAGCGGGAGTGCTCCCGAGTGCCTCCACGAAATTCCCCGAAGGCTACAACGATGCAGCACTCTGGTGTGCAACTTACCAGGACAAGCAGGATCACAAAGATGTCGTTGCGCCAGGAGGTCTTTACAGGAGATGAGTTATGGCTGATTGTCACTGAGGCCGAGACGGCGGACGCGCTACACCGGTGCTCAGACCGCAGAGCCCAGGCGCCGAGTCAGGGCATGCGGGTGCAAGATAGAGAGACACACACACACAGAGATCCACACTCACACTCACACTCACACACTCACTCACTTACACACTTACGCACTTGCACACTCACACAGTTACTTACTTACTTACTTACTTACTTACTTCCTTACTTGCTTACTTGCTTACTTGCTTACTTGCTTACTTGCTTACTTGCTTACTTGCTTACTTGCTTACTTACTTTACTTTA